ACTCGGGCTTCTAGCAAAGGAGCTGCGAGGCTCGCGCTAAGTATCAGAATTTACTGTTCGATTTGCCTCCGCGCTTCATTTTGCAACCTTGTGCAACTGACAGCCAGGCAGGCAGGGAGGGAGGGAAGTCCTGCCCGGCGCCCTCGGCCGCGGCTCGGGGAGGCGAGCGCTCGGTGAAAGCAAGGAGGAGAATCGCGACGAGAAGGGTACTCACCATCGGGCGGGGTGGTGGAGCTGGCGTGCGGGTTTCAGGCAAACGTTTACCTTTTTGCTGTCTATTGCAACCGCGCCGGGCTGACTTAAGAAGCAATTCTGTGCTCTGTCCAGAACATTCAAGGAACGGTTCCTCATTTTTAAAAAGCCAGCGAGAGAGACGACAGAGACAGAGAAAGAAAAAGAGAGGAGGGGGTGAGGGGGACGCGCATAAACCCAGTTCAGGGGTAAAAAAAAAAAAAAAAAAAAAAAAAAAAAATCATCACCTCTCCGCCAGTGACTCGGGAAACGCAGAGGTGGCGAGATCCGAGTCCGGTCCAACCAAGCTAGAGCCAATTAATTCTAAATCCTGAAGAATTATTCAGATTAAAATGTACAGAAGTTTCATTCTCGTATGCCTACGTGAGCTCCAAGTCGTTTCCCTTTAAGAGCTCCTTTTCTTTTAAAGTTGAATTTTAGGCAGCGAGGACTCTTACACTAGGGGGCAGACAGATACTATACTTGCTCCAATCTTAAGCAATTTTTTCCCTCCCAGCATATGCTCTGATTTAGCACTGTAAATTTTTCAGAGGACCCAACTCTGACAGCCCCTGGTGATTTTCAAAGTACCACAAGCCAGTGGTTAAAAATTGCATTGACTTGGAAGTTCAGAGGGACACAATGGACGCCCCTTTCCCTATTCATGCAGCTCCAGTGTGGTGGAAGAGGAAAAACACACAGGAACTAGACTGAGGGAAAGGAGGAATTCAATGAATCCTGGTGGACACAACTGGTTTCCACTGAGTTCAGAGTTAAACTCGGCATTGGCTGGGGTCTGTATTCATATTGTGATTTAATTTGGGGACGATGACAGTCATCAGGCCACTTTCTGCACGAAAATCATATTCCTGGGTGGGTTTGCTTTTCTTTTTTTTTTTTTTTTTCCTTCTTCACCAGAGTAAAACAAATGTTTTTCCAACTTTCTCCAGCCAAATTAAAGCTTGCCATTCCCCTCATTAAAATAAATTTACATCTGCAATAAAAGACTGGGCTGGATTTTTTTTTTTTGCACAGTAACGACATATTGATATTTATCTTTTAGTCTTAGAGCTGTTTTATTCAAGGGAAATGAGCATCTCTGAAGAAGGCATTTTAAAATATTCTCCTCTTTTTTTTTTTCTCAGTCTGCAGTCCTTTCTCTTCTTCTATGCAGTCAGATTAACTACAATTGATATGGCCATTTATTTCATTTTTTGGATTTCTAATAGCCACCCATAACTGAATGAATCTGAAATAAAAGAGAGAAACACCTCTGACTTCATGGGAACCCTGTAGTCGTGTGCTTTAGCAGGCTCCAGTTTTGTAAGAGATTGGGAAATTCTTCATTTTAAATCTGAGCCCATCAGAGCGTACTTCAAATACCAAAAATCTCTAAGTGTGCTGTGGAAGATCTTGCTCTTCAGAAATTTCCCACTGCATGTCTGTAAAAGGTGATCTTGCTGTGGAAGTGTTTGCACTCAAGAGGCGAGATTAAGATTTCCCTACAATCAATTATTCTCTTCTATTAAATCGAGATGGGTATGCCCATTAGATTTCCTGTCTCATCCCAACCCCTCCACATCTCTGCTGCGATTGCCCCTAATCTACTGACATTTGTAGCATTAGGCAATCCCTTGAATCACAGGAGTTGAGAGGGAAAAAGAAAAAATAAACACACACACCTTCTTTGAAATGATTTCTTTTCCATCCTTCTGTCCTCTTTAAGAGAAAGTTATATTGTAGCTCTAATCTACCTGAAATTCTCAACCTGCCTTCTCTCTGTGGCAACTTCATTATATACCAGGTTTATGGTAGTTCAGTGTCCACTATAGTGGGTTGGTTTTTTTTTTTTAATAACTTTCAAATAATCCCAGCACCTGCAGGTTTAGTGAAATACGTGATTTCTGCGGAGAAAGAGTGAGGGCTAAGAAGGTTTCAGCAATGAAGTGTAAAGAGGGTTTCTCCTTCCCTAAAAACCAGCCCTTGTCTGCCTGCATCTTCACTCAGTACCTACCTTGTATTCTGCCTGTGTGTAAAGGGTATTTACTGAATGCAAAGTGCACACCAGCACAGGTCAATTATATGTATGGTTTATGTTGGTTGTTGCTTGCTTTTTTTTTTTTTTAATCTTTCATCTTGTCCATTTTTTTGAACTATCAAGGATGCTTTCCTGGGGTCATTAATTTACTCTTTATATGTGTTCATGCTTCCTGAAGCTCAGAGTGTTTTCTGTAAAATATTTTAATTGTTCGTGAATCTGGTTGGCTTACAAGTTTACAGGTTTTCGTGGTGCAAAATGTGTATGATGGTGTCAAAATTGTGTTTTCTAAATGTCGAATCATCCTAACTAACTAACCTCCCCTAATCAAACCGAAAGGTTTCTGCCTTGAAATGTAGTGGGTTGTGTGGGGCCAAATCTGGATGTTTGATGTTCAAAACCAAACGCCCTGGAATTCAGAGACCCATCCACGTTGATGATTTTAGCACATTGAGCAAAGTGGCAGAGGCTATGAAGTTGTTATTGCAGTGAATCTCTTGAGGTAGACTGTGGCTTGTGTGTGGTTCTTGTGAGTTGTGTTTGGAATTCTTTCCCATTTGGAGCAGACTCTCTGGTGGTGGTTTAATGACTATATGGGTGCCTAAAAGGAACCTGAGGAACAATGAAGTTCGTACTCAACTCTTCTATGACCTAGAAGCATAGTCGCTGAAGTCTTTGTCTGTGTACATTGACAAATGTGCATCTGATGTATGTGCGCTTACATGTGTGTACTGAGGGTGTGCACGGGTGGCTGGGAGGCTGCCTCCGCTTGTCCATCAGCGGCCAGAACGGTCTCCCCAGCTCTCTCCACGGTTGAGTGTGTGGCAGGACGTTGGCCGGTGAGTTAGCTACAACTAATGAGAGAGGATAAAGTTGAGGAAAATTGATTTTAATTGCGTCATGACAATGAGATGAAGTCTACTTGTGCTTCTCAGCATCCGAGGTGTTTCATTTGAGCAATTAAAATGTCAGGCCACATACCTGTGAAACGTTAACCCTACAAGGAAAAGACAGATACTAAAGGACTTTTTTTTTTTTCCTTTTTAAAGGAAAAAAAAAAAAAGAGGTGCGGGGGGGGGGGAAGCCACAAAACCAAGCAAGTGATCAGAGCTGATTAAGAGAAGGGTCTACCGTCACCCGGATCTGACCAAATCTTTCGTTTGGAAAATGCCTCCAAGCTCGGTTCTCGGCCCCTTCCTACCCCCACCCGTGACCCCTCTGCAAAGAAACCGGGGAACTTTTCTCTTTCTCTGGCACTGTGGGCACAAAGATGCGCCGGGAGTCCCGGGTGGTGCGCGAGCGACGGATTTCGCGGCGTCGCCAAGTTGCGGGAGGCGAAGTCCTCGATTCCATCCGGAGCCGCTCGCGGAGCCTTTAAGAAGCGTTCGTGTGTGCGCGCCGCGCTCCTCTCCCCGCCGGGGCGGAAACCTCCGGTGCGGGGCGCGGAGAGCTCGGGGGCCGCGTGCCCGGGGCCGGCCCGGGCCCATCCCCCGCCCGGCGGCGGCGGCGGCGCGGCCGCCCCCTCCCCGCCCCCCGCGGCCCCCCGCGCGCCCCGCGCCGCGGCCGCGACGCCGCTCGCGCTAGGACCGGGCTGCGCCCGCGGCCGCCATGGCGGGGCCGCCGCGCTCCGGCCAATGACGGCGAGGGGGCGGCGCGCGCGCGCCTGGCCAGGCCAACCCCGGCTGCTGCCTTATAAGGCGCGCCGTCGCCATGGCAACGTGCGCTAAGTTGCAGCAGTCGTGTCAAAGTTCACTATATAGAGAGCTCAGTGAGCTGATCGCGGAGAAGCCACTTCTGCCAGCCCCGGCGCCTATAAATCGCATTCCCTCCCGCGCCCCCCTTTTTAGCATATTTGATCACTTTGATTCTCTGTTCTTTTCTCTCCGCGGTGTGTGTGTGCGTGCGCGCGTGTGTGTTTTCTTCTCCTCCTCCTCCTCTCCCCGAGTTGCCTCCTTTCTCCGGGTGCCGTGCTGCCTTTTTTTCCCTTCTTTCATTCTTTCTCTCCGTCTTTTTCTCCCCCCTCTGCGCACGAAGGATGTGCTTCTAGGTGGTGATCTGCCCTCCTCTCTCTCTTTTATCATTTCTCCCCCGCCGCCGGCGAGTTGACTCTTTCCCTATGTGTGTGAGGCGGCGGCGGCAGCAGCAGCAGCGGCGGCTCCGGCGGCGGCAGCAGCGGCAGCAGCGGCTTCAGCGGCGGCGGCGGCGCTAGACGCGGCGGCTCCGGGCCCGACCCGGCGGCTTCGGCGGCGGCGGCGGCGGCTGCGGCGGCGGCGGCGGCCCGGGCGGCCCGCAGGGAGCGGCGAGCGGCCTCCATCCGGCGAAAGCGGGCGGCGGCGGCCGGAGCGGGCGAGCGCGCGCCGGGCGCCCGTGGCAGGCGGCGGCGGCGGCGGCGGCGGCGGCCCAGCGCCAGGACGACGCCGCGCAGCGCCCGACGCGGACCACTTTCATGCTGATTCCCCCGGACCCAGGCAGCGCTCCGGCCACTCCGCGGGCCGCCGGCCTCCGCCCCGGCCTGCCCGGCTCTCTGGGCGCGCCCGCGACCGGCGCCTCCGCTCTCCCAGTCCTCCTGATTTCGATGGCTTTCCTGAATGGCTGACTGTGGGCTGCCCTGGACTTGGCCCCCGGACAGTCGCCTCTCCTCCTCCTCCTCCTCCTCCTCTTCCTCCTCCTCTTCCTCCTCCTCCTCCAACTCCTCGGCACACCAGCTCTGAGAGCGAGAGAGTGAACGAGAGAGGGAGGGAGAGAGTGAGAGCGAGGGAGATCTTTGGAGAGATTTTTTTTTTTTTTTTTTTTTGCCTCCTACTTCTGTCTTGAAGCCAGACAATCGACTTGCGGCTCTCCCTCCCCTCCCTCTCTCTCCACGTTCTGCTCCCACTCTCTCTCCCCTGGCCCCCTTCCCCTCCCCTCCGGGGCCGAAAGCCCCCCGCAACCAACAAAGCTGAGCCGAGGGAAACAAACAAAACAAACACACCGGGCCAGACAAGCCATCGACAAAACTTTGCAAAAGCAGAAACAAAAAAGGAAAAACTAACCAACCTCAACCAACCAGCCCCCGAGCCACCCGGGGCGCCCTCCCGCGCCCTCTCGCACCCTCGCACACACAAAAGGCGGCGCGCCGGAGCCCGAGACCCGGGAGCCGCCGCCGCCCGCAGCCAGGGGAGCAGGAAGTCCGGACGCGGCCCCCATAGATATGGCAATGGTAGTCAGCACGTGGCGCGACCCCCAGGACGAGGTGCCCGGCTCGCAGGGCAGCCAGGCCTCGCAGGCGCCGCCGGTGCCGGGCCCGCCGCCCGGCGCCCCGCACACGCCACAGACGCCGGGCCAAGGGGGCCCGGCCAGCACGCCGGCCCAGACGGCGGCCGGCGGCCAGGGCGGCCCCGGCGGCCCGGGCGGCGACAAGCAGCAGCAGCAGCAGCACATCGAGTGCGTGGTGTGCGGGGACAAGTCGAGCGGCAAGCACTACGGCCAGTTCACGTGCGAGGGCTGCAAGAGCTTCTTCAAGCGCAGCGTGCGGAGGAACCTGAGCTACACGTGCCGCGCCAACCGGAACTGTCCCATCGACCAGCACCACCGCAACCAGTGCCAGTACTGCCGCCTCAAAAAGTGCCTCAAAGTGGGCATGAGACGGGAAGGTATCGGCCTCTCCTTTCTCCCCCCCACCCTCGCCTGGGGTCCCGGGGCCCTGGGTGCGTTTGGCTAGCCTGCTCTGGGTAAGGACGCAGAAGCCCCCAAGCTCTTCTCTTCGTATTGCAGCTGAAAGGGGGTTTATACTAGAAGCAACTTCTGCACTGGAACCCAGACCCCCAAATCCGCATGCTTTGGCCGACTGATCTCCTCCTCTACTTTCTCTCCGGGCTGTTTCATTTTCTTTGCATTGATTGCGAGTGCATTGGAGTTCGCCTTTCTGCGAGGGATGGGGTGTTGTCTGTTGTTGTTTTAGAAAAAAAAAAAAAGCCTGGTTTACTTCTCCCGTCTTTCCTCTCGATTTCTCCCTCTCTCTCTCCCCCTTGTTTTTCCTGCATGTTCAACATATGTCCCTCCTCCCCACCCCTTTCCCCAGCCCCCACCCTCTCCAAAAAAAAAAAAAAAAACCAACCTGAGATTGTACTTTTGTACAGGAGGTTCAAATTACAAATGGCAATTTTATGCACTTCGCCGTATTAACGCTGCCGCCCGGGCAGCGCTCATGTGACCCTCCGTGGATTAACATTCTGCTAAAAAAAAAAAAAATACCTCTGTTTTCTTTTTTCCTTTCACTTTTGAAAGGAGGAGAGCGCGATAGGAGTAGGGACGGGTGGGCGAGGAGCCCTCGGCGGCCGCTTTCGCTCCGCGCGAGTTGGGTCTTTGTGATATGAAATTCGCCGAGCGCCGCGAGCCGTGCTCGGCCAATGGCGCGCTCGGCGCCGGGCGCGGGCTCCGGGCTCCGGGCGAGCGAACGCCGGCCTTTCTTTGTGTTTCTGCGAGAGCGACTCTCCCGGTCCGGCGTCACATAACAGCCCGGGCCCGAGCCTCGCCAGTCTCCCCCGGCCCTCCTGGGCCCTGCCCGGGCCGCGCCGGCGCCGGCCGCCTGCTCCCCGCCTCTCCCCGGCTTCCTCTCGCCTCGGCCGGCCTCTCTCTCCGCCCTCTCCCTCCGTCTCTCTTTCTCCGAGCACACTGATCGGGCTGCCGCCAGACCTCGGCTCTCCGCTCTTCTCGCACCGGGGGGCTCCCCGCCGGGCTGGGGCCGGGGCTGCCGGGTTTGGGGGGGCGGGGGGAGAGTGGTTGCACGGCGGCCGCAGGCCGTCTGGGGTGAACCCTGGTGTCTTTTGCAAAAGCGTCTCACCCTCCCCCCCAGACTCGCCCCTCCCGCTCCCTCTCCTCCAATCAATAAGAAATATCAGCTGTTTAGCAGCAAAGAAGCAAGATGCCCCCAGAATGCTACATCCCGCCCACAGTGCCGGGGGACCCCGAGGCAAAGTGGCCAATGCTGGGTCCTCGGCGGCCCAGCCCCGAGCGGGCCTCGGAGGCGAGTGTGCCCCTCTGGCCGCCAGAGCTTGCTTGGGTGGTGGCTTGAGAGGAGGCTGCGGGCGCACGGAGACTTCCAGGTCCGTGGCCCTGGCGCGCTGGCGAGAGGGGCAGGCCTGCTCGATCTGGCGCGGTGCGGGCTCTGGGTCAGGCGGGGGGTCGGGCTGGGGCAGACCCTGCCCGGGGAGCTGGGCCACGAGGCTGGTCATTAACTGCGGGGTGTCTCCTTTCCTCCCCGCAGCGGTGCAGAGGGGCAGGATGCCGCCCACCCAGCCAACCCACGGGCAGTTTGCGCTGACCAACGGGGACCCTCTCAACTGCCACTCGTACCTGTCCGGATATATTTCTCTGCTGCTGCGCGCCGAGCCCTATCCCACGTCCCGCTTCGGCAGCCAGTGCATGCAGCCCAACAACATCATGGGCATCGAGAACATTTGCGAACTGGCCGCGCGGATGCTCTTCAGCGCCGTCGAGTGGGCCCGGAACATCCCCTTCTTCCCTGACCTGCAGATCACCGACCAGGTGGCCCTGCTTCGCCTCACCTGGAGCGAGCTGTTCGTGCTGAACGCGGCACAGTGCTCCATGCCCCTCCACGTCGCCCCGCTCCTGGCCGCCGCTGGCCTACACGCCTCACCCATGTCCGCCGACCGAGTGGTCGCCTTTATGGACCACATACGGATCTTCCAAGAGCAAGTGGAGAAGCTCAAAGCGCTGCACGTCGACTCCGCCGAGTACAGCTGTCTCAAGGCCATAGTCCTGTTCACCTCAGGTAGGAAGGAGCCCTGCCCTCTGTGCCCAAGGACTCCTAGCTCAGAGTTAGGGCCCCGAGAACTTGGGAGTCCCCTGACTGAGCCCAGCCTCCCCCTTCTCCCCCCCCCCTTGAAAGGCCAAACTGTTGAGGGCAGCTTGGAGTGGGGACTTGGTAGAGCTGCTGGGCCTCACCAGGCCTGGCCTGGGAACAAGAGAGTGAGGCTGGGGCTTCCCGAAGGTCCCTTCAGGCACAGGCTCTCAAAGTGGGCCAGGGGGGAAGCCTCGGGAGCCTGCCAGACTGGCAGGGGGGTTCCTGCACCCTCCCTTGGCCCAGGCCTCCGGGGCTAGCTGATCCTGTACAGCCTCCTCTACCCCAGGACTCGCTCATTCTGTCGCCCTGACTGAGCCTCCAGTGGACGCCTCTGGGCCCTGGAGCTGTCCTGGCGTCCTCTCTGCAGGAGAGAAAAGTTTGCCTGCGAACTCAGTAGGAGCTGGGGCTCCAGGCAAATCCAACCTGAGGGCAGCAGTTTTCAAAGTCATATTCTTATTAAAACAATGCCGACTGCCAGGCGAGGAGGAAGAGCTGTCAGGAAAGGGGCAAGGGGAAGAAAAGGGCCATCATAACTGTCCTGAGTGTGTGCAAGGGGTTGAGGACTCTGGCCCCCAGCTTGCGCTGCCCAGGCAGACACTTCAGACAATTCTCAAACCACCCAAAATGTGTGCCAGCTTGGGCTGGGTCTGAACGTTGCCAGCGATATAAAACCATCATTGACTGTATTATGAAACCTAATTAGTTTGTATGTAGTTTAACCTGTGTGAGTAATAGATCTGATATTAATTAACTCTCGAGGCCAAATGATTTTTGAAGGTGTCTGGCTTTCCACTTTGGGCCACACCTGAGCCTTTGGGCTGCCTCCAGGCTGAGATCAGCACATCCCAGGTGGGTGGAAATCACCCCCTCTGCATCCTCTTTCTAAGTTGTCAGCTGAGCCCTTTGTCATGGCTGAAAGGGGGAGAGGGGTTCCCAATGAAGAATTGCACACATTTGGATGTTGGTAGGGCTGGGAACCTAGGGACTGCAGTTTTTACAGCTTGTAATCAGGACACCAGAAGAGCTGTGTCGCTCTCCTGGCAGACAAAAAGATGCACAGTCTCTTCCTTATTGTTTGAAGGAAATCTGGGGACCCAAGTCATCAGCTCAATCGATTGCAGGTTCTGAGTCCTTAACCCACTGTCTGTTACACACTGCTGTTTTTTTACACGTAGCCTTCCCCCGCCATGCACACAGGCACCCCAAATTCTGCCTTTGAAAGTCCTTAGGTAATCAATTAAAGTGCAGTGGCTGGGCAAAGAGCTGTATAGAGAGGCTTGGATCTGGAGTATTTTTCCTCAGGGGAACTGTCATAACTAGAACATTTGCCTGATGCAAATGTACAGGCAGGGTATTCCCCTAACCCCAGAGTCACCTTCACCCCCAGCCCTCCACCCCGGCCCAGATCCCAGACCCCAGACGAAGGGGGGTGTTGTTAATTTCTCCATATCATTGTTAGCTCTTAGCCTTACCCTTGGTCTTTCAAGGAAAGAAATGCCTGATACTGTCGTAACAGTTTAATTTATTACTTTTTGCAAAATGTAGAGGACTGTGTGGAGAATGCAAATCGCCTCACAAAGAGATAAAGGTCCCTCTTATCTGATTCGTAGGGAGACACACAGAGTACCACTGCAGAGGGAGGGAGTCCTGTGCAAACAGATCTTTTAATTCCTGACCACAGACACCTATGCGTTCTTTACATGCACGGTCCCTAGATACACACATGAGGAAATTACATGTGTGTTCTGGTTCTGGGGGCTGGAGGTAGTGGGGGCTGTTTTCAAATATCTGTTTTAAGGATTTATGCTACGCATGTGTTAGCGCCCAAGTCTTGTCTGGGGAGCCCAGAAAGGTCAGGTCACAACCTGCACTGCCTTCACTGAGAAGCCTCTCATTTCAAAGGCACTTATTGTATTTTCACGTATCCGAAAGAGAAAAGTGTTTTTCCTGAAGATAACAGGAAGGGGGTTCTTCTTGGAGAGACCTGGGTTTTTTTAAATAAATAAATAGATAGATAGATAGATAGATAGATATATAAATAAATAAATGGGGGTAGAAGCAAAAGGGAGAGAGAAGAAAGGGGGGAAAAGAAACAGCTCAAATGAACAGAGAGATCACAGTTTGCATGGCTGCCCTTCAATAGGGCTAAACTGACAAGATCAGTTTTAAAGGGCCACTTAAATCAGTTTCAAAGACTGGAGAAAAATGAGTCGCCCTCTTTGGGGAGAATCTGAGGCTGGGTCGTGGACGCCATTACTAGAGGCTGGGCCAGGTTGTGGCCCTCCCCTCCCCCCCCAATGTATAATTATAAGCCAAACTATTATTTACAGAGGAGGAGGGGGAGGAGCACTGGCAGTTTAGGTTTCATCTGTTTGTCTGTCTGTTTACTGACTTGAGCCGGATTCACCCAATGCACTTTGCTTGGGCCTCCCAGTGACCAAGCCTGAGGACTGGTAGAGTGCAAGCCTACAGTGCACTGAGCTGTGTTTTACTTTAAAACAAATACCCCAGGACCATCTCGTGCTCTCCACCCCCCTCCCCACTCCCCTCCCGCCCAAGTTTTCAGTACAGAGGCATTTGCTCCAACTCCGGTTGGGGCAGTTTGACAGAGCACTGTACACACACCTCATGTGACCCATTTCAAACCTCTTAATCTGATGACTGAATTCTTCTTCTTCTCCTCCTTCTCCTCCTTCTTCTCCTTTTTTTTTTTTTTTAAACTTTCTTCCAGATGCCTGTGGTCTCTCTGATGTAGCCCATGTGGAAAGCTTGCAGGAAAAGTCCCAGTGTGCTTTGGAAGAATACGTTAGGAGCCAGTACCCCAACCAACCAACGCGATTCGGAAAGCTTTTGCTTCGCCTCCCTTCCCTTCGCACGGTCTCTTCCTCAGTCATAGAGCAATTGTTTTTCGTCCGTTTGGTAGGTAAAACCCCCATCGAAACCCTCATCCGGGATATGTTACTGTCCGGCAGCAGTTTTAACTGGCCGTATATGGCAATTCAATAAATAATAAATCAAAATAAGAAGGGGGAGTGAAACAGAGAGAAAGAAAAGGCAAAAGACTGGTTTGTTTGCTTAAATTCCTTCTGTTAAGAAAGGATATAAAAGGATGTTACAAGTTTGCTAAAAGAAGAGAGGGGAAGAATTTAATGGACTGTGAATTTCAAAAAAAAAAAAAAAAGACTGTCAAATGAACTTTTACAGAATGCATTAAAAAAAAAAACGCCTGTGTCGGTCAGAACAACTTGCTACTTATCATTTTTGTATAAAAAGGAAATTAGTCTTTTTCTTTTTTTGGTAAATTTTTGAAAAATATTGCTAAAAGTGCATTTAAGGAGATTGGGAGAAAATTAGCAGAATGGAGAAAGTAAGTCTTTTTTTTTTCCAAATTATTAATTGTCCTGTGTCTATGTACCTCTAGCTGTTCTTTTTTGTACTTTTCTGGTTCCAAACCAGTTTATTCTGTGGTTCTATAATAAGTTTTGATATAATCTTGGCTTCTTAAAAACTGTGTATCCTTAAACTATATGTTCTGCAAGAATTAAAACTGAGTCCATGAAAATACCATAGGAAGACATAAAACTTTAAAAGGCAACTCAGAGGTGATGGAAACGCACTTACAAGTGGTGACCAAAAATTTTAGGTGGAGTTGAGCACTCTTAATTTGAGAACTGGAGGAATTACACACAACACTTAACTTCCCCTACCCTGCCCCCCCAAAAAAAGACACCATGACAAACCTAGCTTTTTAAAAATATTTTAAGAAAGAGAATGAACTGTGGAATTTATTGGCAGCCAAGGAATGTGTCCAAGACACATGCTGAGGTTTTGAATAAAAAGTGAACTTTTGTAATTTGAATTGGGTCCCGCTTAGTTCTTGAATTGTTATGAAAATCCTATATCTGTTTGTATATTTGCAAACCCTTTGTATTATAATTGTTGATATTTTCCCTTTTTAAAAAATACCATTGAAATCAGCATGACAAAATAACACTGTTGGCACTTATAGGTAACGTGATTGATTCAGTATCTTAGAGTTTACAGTTTGTGTTTTAAAAAAAACTGAAGGTTTTTTTTTTTAAGTGCAACATTTCTGTATACTGTAAAAGTTATAATAACTGAACTGTTTGGTCGAGTCTTTGTGTGTTATATTCCAAGGAAAATTGAAAGTATTCAGAAATTAAAATATTATTTGATATCTGAAATCTGTTTGGCTGTCCCCACTCACTGTTTTTCCATCGATAAGAGCCCCTGTGAGCTCTCGCTGAGCTGGGCTGGGGGCTTCATGTATTCACTCCCCTCAGTCAGTTTGTTCAAAGGTGGACTAGTGTATTTGCCTGTTTAATTTGGGTGTGTGTTGGGGGGGTGGAGAAGCTGAAGTTAATGGCTTATCTATGGTTTAGGAAGTGCCATACTGATATAGTAAATCACCCCCATTCACCTAATCCTCCTTTTAATTAAAAATGGATTTTCCAGGAAAAAAAAAAGGCCCTTATATTTGTCACACTTAAGTGCCTGCTTAGGGAAGGTATTGTGGAAAGTATTAGAAATCTTGAGATCAGTATCTATTTTATGATCAGAAGAAAAAATACTGTTTTGTACATTTCTGACAGTTCAGCAAAAGACAGTTCTAGCAAGCTAATCACAGCATTGTAAATAGAGGGCAGTTGTTTGCAGTGAGTTTTTCCTTAAGTAGGTGTGATTTTTAAAAATACTCCGTGGTTCTCATCTAGCTTGGTTGTTGAGAGGATTTCAGATTCAGTGATCTAGCTTATAGTGCTGAAGGGTCTGTTCTTAGTGTATATATGATAACTTGCTGTTGGCCTGTCTTTCCCCTCCCCCCTTTACGTTCATTCTGTGAGAGCATGACCACAGGTCAAGGGAGTCTCTTCCACTGGAGTTATGTACATAAAAACACATCGACATTTTGACATTTCGGATTGTGTAGATACAATCTGTACTGCTCTTGGGATCCTTTGTCCTTAGAAGCCAAATTAAGAAAAAGAAGAGAAAGAAAGAAGGGAGGAAACTTTATAGGGTGTGCTGATTTGGAAGTAGTAACTATTTTGTTTTGGAGGTTTTCCTATTTTTTCCTCTTTCTCTTTTCCTGGTTTGGAGGAAGCTCAGTGCGTGGGAGCTTGCAGTTTTGTTCTTATTGAGGCTTTCCAGCAGCCCACCCCCCCACCCTACTTCCCTAATGTTGTGGTTCAATTTTAAAATCGGGAGGGGAGGTGGAAGAAAGGGGATCATTTTGTAAAGTGTATTAAACTTTGATACTCAGTTCAATACATGTAGACCAGAAAAATCTGTCTGATGTGTGCATCTGAGCAGTTCTCCATCTGACCCTCAGCTTCTTTCTGTAGATATATACATACATAAATACAAGTACGGTCCTAGGGCAGAATATCGCTGACCTTTTAGCTCGAGGTTTGCTGGTTGTTGTTTATTTTCTCCTCTTGCAAGTGCTATCCATGTGAGTGTGTGAAGTTTCTCTAATAAGTAAAACACAGGCCCTTTTCCTTGTTTGTTTTGTGTTAGTTTATTGTAAACAGCCATTTGTTGTAAATTATTATTGGCATTAAATTATAATTTATGATTTTCAAAGCAAAAGACAGTCCCTGTTTTATTATGCTTTAAGCATGTCTTCTAGTCATTGGAAATCTCTCTCTCACTCTAAGTTTCAGCAATGAGCTTGGGGGTCTGCGAGGCAGAAAAACAGGACCCAAAATTTTTCAAACGGGTTAAAACAAAACCCCTTGTATATGTGTAGAGTGGCCGGAGGAGGATCTGTTTAGAGTCTTGAGTTTGGTTTAAGTTTATTGCATTTAAAGAAAGTTTTTCTTTTCACGCTGAGTTAGAACAAAAGATCTTTGCTGCAACTGAACTGGACAAAAGACGAGGGCTGGGACCCAGCGAGTGCGTTCTGTGTGAAATTGACGAGATCTTTAAAAAAGCTGCTAAACATGGCGACTCTTTCCCTTTAAGTGTCTCTTTTTCCTTGCTGGTTTTTTTTTTTTTTTTTTTTTTTCTTCCTCCCATCTGATCTGAGCTTGCTTTATTTCTTTCCCCAACCCGCTCCCCCTCCTCCTCTTGGCGCTCAGGGGTGTGAGAGAACCCAGTTAGACGCGAAATGCAACAATAGTCCGAGGAGAGAGAGCGAGGGGCGATCGCGGCTTCTCGCCACTTTCAAACAAACCTGGGGGAAGACTAAGCTGGGGTGGGGGTGGGGGGGCGGCTGGAGGACCGCAGCCCGTCCGCTCGGCTCGCGGTCGCCCTGCCCCGGCCTCGCGGCGTGAGCTCCCTTCCCTGGGCCGCGAGGGGCTGGGGCTCAAAGTTAGCGGCCGGTGTCCGGGGCTGGTCCCGCGGAGACGGCCGGGCTCGCATCCGGCCGGCTTGCAGGGACGGGGGCCCGGAGCTGGCAGCCGCTGCGGAAAAGTGCCTGCCCACCCCCCCCAGCCCCCGCCCCCCACTTACGTGCGGCGGAATTCCGCCCGCGCCCCGGGAAAGTCCGGGGTGCCGGGCGCGCGGAGCTGCACTCCCTGGCTGTGCACCGCGCGGCGGCGGGCGGGGGGCGGGGGCGGGGGCGGGGGGCGGTCAGGGGGAGCTCGAGCGTGTGAAACTCTGCTTCGAAGCTCGCTTTTGACTTGGTCCTATGAGCTGAGCCAACATGGCGTCTCCCATTGCACCGCGAGCGCCGGGCTGCCAGGCACGGCAGGGCCGGGTAATAGAAAACACATTGGTTACCAAAAAGGAGGAGGGGAAAAAAAAAAAAAAAAAAGAGGTGGGGGGGGCGACTAAAGGGCATTGCATCTGCGGGCAGAAAACCCTCTTTTAAACTCTTGCTGGCGAGTGAGGGCGGCCCCTCGGTTATCCTGTAATTAGAGCAGCAGAATTCGTAGGGGAAAGATTGGTAACGCGGTGTCCCCTTCTCTCTTCGCTCCCCCCCCCTTATCATTAGAGTTCATTTCATGTCTCCCCTCCCCACCAGAGCCAAATGAGAAAAAGCCAAAGTCGGTATCCTCCGAGCATCTGAAATGTCTGAATGGCGTAGAGGGGGAGGGGAGAGGCCAGTATTTACAGACCTGGTCAGTGCTCGCGCTCATTAATGCAGGGGCTGCGCCGGGGTCTGTGCGGGCCGGGTCCAGCTTTCGGGGGGAGGGGAGGGGAGGCCGGCTGCGCACCCCGCCAGGCGTGGGCACAACTTGCTGCTTGCCTGTCAAAGTTGCAGCAGAGGTGGCCTTCCGGGCGGAGGGCTGAGTTGGGAGGCGCGCCGCGGCGGAGGGCGGGTTCCGGGCGGGTGGTCGCAGGCCCTGGAAACGTGTGAGCCTGCGTAGACGGCGCCCCTGGCAGGAGCGCGCCTGCAGCTGAAGATCCCCTTTCTTTAATAGGTTTGGGCGGGCGAGGCCGGCCGTGGGACAGATTCGGCCTCCCAGAGAGGGTCTTCAGAGGGCCTCTGGAGAGACCGTGGATTGGCCGGGGCTGAGCTCTCCGCGGATGGGGGAATCGCCCCTTCCCTGCACCTCCAGCCCCTGCCCGGGCCTGGAGACCCCTACCCTCAGCCGCCTGGGAGGGAAGCGAGGTACTCTCTGAATTCCGGGCCTCGTCAGGATTTATTGAAGTTGGGTTTTAAAAACGTGCTTCAGATGATTTTTCCCATTTTCTCAGATTTCAAAGGCTCCCTGCAGTGCGGCTGCCTAATTAATGGTGAAATTCAACTAAATCTAATTATGCAGTAATTTTAAAGCAGTTAGTGCTGGGCGTTGGTTTGTAATAGGACCCCAGTTTTTTAAAGTTTGCTTACTGTGTTGGTTTAGGGGAAAGCCATCTTTTGTATGGCAAAGAAAGACGGGGAAATAGTTTCGCTGCACGAACCCGGAGGGCTGAGCACCGCCCCCAGCCCCTCACCTCCATCCCCATCCCCACGTCTGTCTCCTGTCCGTGCTCTCTGCGCTTTGCCCTCTCTCAGCTCAAGCTCCCAAGCTGAGCGAGGTGCTCAGCCAGCAGAGAGACCCGTTTTCAGGGCCAAATGGGAAGCAGAGAATTTTTCATAAGGAGACACAAAGGGACTTGGTGTCTGCCCTCCTGGACCCATCTGTAAGTGCCCGAAAACAGGGAAAGGACTCCCATCGTCTCTAACAGAGAACAGATTTCCTCTCCTTAACATCCATTGTCATTAAGGCAAAAAGCTGACTCTTGGAGTTATAAATCTTATCGTCCTGATAACACACTTGTAATAAGTTAGCGTCCTATTCAAAGTGAATTGTAAAACTGCCTCATTTAATGTGGCATCTGTATCATTAAAACTTTTATTATTTTTTTCCCCCTCGCGTCTTGCAGGCCTGGCATTCCGTGGAGCTCCGAGGGGCCTCTGGGGCAGGGCCAAGGGTGGAAAAGGTGTGAGAGATGGGCTGCCTGGTTTCAGCCTCTAGATCCCAGTCTGGGGTTGAGAGACCCCTGAGGCAGAGTGGGCCTGAGGGGGTTGTGCTGTGTCCCCGTTTCCCATCCCCCGGAGCGGCCCCCTCGAAATGACGTTCCTTGAAAGAAACATGCTTGTGATTAGCTAAGCAAACACATCTGCTTTCGGAGTTGGGCCTTCGTTAATTAGCTGAACAAAGGGCCGTTTTGCCTTTTACCTTTTGCTGCGGGAGAGTGTGTTATTTCAGGAGTGTCGCGGGCCCACCTCTTTTCAATTGCAGCCACGACGTTAATTTTATTGGGATTACTGATGGGAAATGAGGTGGCGCAGGCTTCCGAGAGGAAAAGCTTGATCATTACCCCCTTTGGAACTATATTTTTCCACCAACCTCCTGCTCGCGAGGAGGGGGTGGGGGGGTGTATGCAAAACTGTGCCGCAAGTTCGGAGCAATTGGAATCAGGCTCGCGCTATGCTGATCTCGGGTGACAGAGCGTGTGTTGGAGCTGAACTCTATAATTTGCGCTTCTGTTCCTTTATTAGCCCTGGACAACGAACTAATGAGCTTTGGCCCAGCACAGTGTCACTTGTATTTATTTTCTTATGGCAACTTTGAGATAGCGGAAGTGTTCCTTACCAGGAGCCAGGGAGGGCCGGGAGCCCTGACCGCCGCGCCTTCCTGGCCCAGGTCAGTGGCCGCATCCCAGGGGAGCCAGGGCGCGCGCAGAACTGCCGGAGCTTGGGGACTGGGCCTTGAGGCAAGGCCTTGGGGGCGCTCGGGAAGGCGTTAGG